GGACAAAATAGGTCAGACACATTTTGACTTCTTTGTGTGGTTTTTTTTCTTCTTCTTGTAGTTTGTACTCAGCAAAACACCTTTTTTTAGGTTTTATTTTATTTTTTTCCCCCAGTTTCTATTCAGCGAAATGCCTTTTTAGTTGTTTTTTTTAATCGACACACTCATGTTTGAGCAACCTTTTTTAAAGACATAATCCCACAGTCACCCCCCTTCTGTCCTAGATAGTGTGCTCTTGAAAGTGTGAATCCGATTGTGCCCTTATGGAGATCTGATGTCACCACTTTATTCCCTGTTCTTTGGGGTGGCACAATTATGGTGAGGAATCTTGGATTAAAAATAAAATTAGTCTTTATATCACAAAGTGCTACTTCGCCCACCAAGTTTTAAGCAAATATGTTGCACTATCAGGGTGGGACGGTGGCTCAGTTGGTAAAGCTGTCACTAAAGTTAATCGGTTGTAGATTTGCATCTAATGATTACGTCCTGAAAGTCTCATTAAAACCAATCCTCTGGTTCATGAAATTTTTGCTAACTGACACACAAAAGCATTTACAGGATTACCCACCATTTATTGCAGCCAGTGATTAATAATGGGTTGCCACATCTATCAGCAGCCCACCCAAATACAATCACTTATCAGTCAGCCAACCTCAAATGTTCAGAAGATAATACAAGTTCAGCTCTTGTTGTCTCGTTGCCCCCCACCCTTCCCCTCTTCTCAGTCTAATTGACAATCATTTTTCTTAATTGAAACAATTTAGTTTTGCTTTTTTTACTAGGAGGTCTTGTTGTACAACAGAGACTTTGAAAGAACACATGAAAGTACAGGATCCACATATCACAGAAAACTTTGAAGTGGTTCTTGTGGTTTCAGTCTCAGCCGTGGTAACAAAGTAGGCCTCCATCCAGCCTATACAGCCAAAATAAAAACAGTCAAGCTAAGTTCTTAGCCATTTAGTTCTGTCTTTGAGCTTGGGTCACTTTGCATTTTGTTAGTTCTTTCCTCCCAGTATTTCTTGGGCACAAACATAAAATTGTGGGAAACCAGTGTTATGTTCCGTTCTTAAATTTGAGTAATTGTGCAGACCTGCTGCCAATAGCCAGGCTGTAGCTTGCTATAAGACATCCACATGGTTGACACAGACGTACTACTTGTGCAAAGACCTGCTGTCTTTACAATAGTTTTTTTTTAATGCCAAGCTTTTATGAAACCTTAGTTATTTATCACCTGAAGAATTTAAAGCTGTATTAAACCAGAGCATCTACAAGTACTGTGCCAAGACAAGTTCCTTTTGTTGAGATTATATATAATTTGCAAGATGACACTCTGATCTGGTAYAGTTGCAGAACTGAGATATGCACGTCTGCTTCATTACTCATGAGTTTGACTGGAAGTGCTGTATTATTTTTAGAGTACATGGTTTAGAGTGGGGG